TATATATATATATATATATATATATATATATATATATATATATATATATATATATATATACATTTGCTTCCATACATGTGAAGTGTGCGAGTGAAGTAGTTTGTGTATTTTTGTTTTTATTAATTAGTTAATTAATTAATTTATTAATAAATTTATTCGTTTATTTATTTATTTGTTTTATTGCGTTTGTTTGTATATCCTTTTTGGTGCACAGGATGAGGGAATTGGGGCTGCTGAGGGAGTCGGGGGTTTTATGCATGCAGAAGAAGAGATCGTGCATGCACAAGAAGAACAGCTATCATTTCTTGAGGGTTCAGTTAGCAATTTAAAATCTTTAGGATATGCAATTAAAGAAGAGGTGTCTGTACACCACAGATTATTAGATGCTACGGAGACAGAAGTTGAAAAGGCAGATGCACAACTTAAAAGAAATAAAATTCTTCTTAAAAAACTCATGAAGAGACACTCTACGCTCTGTCTCCTTCTTATTGCAGTCGCACTCCTCTGTCTCCTTGTCTTTCTTCTCGTATTCACAGCATAAACCCTTATAAACCCTTAGGGCCCCCTCTCCGTTCTATGCACACATTCAAATATATAGGGGCCCCCAGGGGCCCCCATACATTTCAGGGGCCCCTCCTCAGCCAGCCCCCAGGAGCCCCCATCCGCCTGGGGCCTCCGGGGGCCCCCAGGGGCCTTCTATAGCCACCAATGATAAAGCAACATATAAAGAGGGGCCCCTGAGCTTGTAGTGTGGGTGTTGCAAGGGGGCCCCCCTTTAATCGAAGGAGGCCTTAGGGGGGCCCCCTAAGGCACGCAGAGATAAAATGAGAGGAGGGCCCCATTATTATTCGTAGAATAGAGTGGTGTATATACACTCGAGGGGCTGCTAACGAAAGGAGATTCTTAGGGGCCCCAATCCATTGGTAGGGCCCCTACCTACCCTTTTAGGGGCCCCCATACATACTTTTAAGGGGCCCCTCCTCAGTCCCTTGGGGGCCCCTATACACTGGAGGGGCCTCTGAGCCCATTATTGTTCTGTTGCTTCCGCAGTGTCTGTGAAGTTCTTTTGAGGGCCCCTTTCGTTTCTTTACAAGGGGGGGCTTCTTCCTTATGATGGGGTCTACCTTCTACTAACCCCATATAAGCGGAGGCCGTGAGGTGTATGTACACCTCTGGCTCATCAAGGATGAAGGGAAGGAAGACTGAGGTGTACATACACCTCAGAAACTCCCATCTACCTTCTGGGGTTTTAAACGAGAGAAGGGGAGGGGGGATTGTGAGGCGGACAAATTAACTTTTTTTTGTGTAGTCGTGAGGTGTATGTACACCGCAGTGGAGTTAAGATGGAGGAGTATGTATAACCCAGCATACTTCTTCTTTAGCTGTATGTACAGCGCAGACTTTTTAGAGGGGAACTGCGCTTGCAGCGTCGTGGGGGAAGCCGCGGGGTGTACGTACACCTCAGGGTAGGGCGGGGAGGGTGTTTAGGGTTGAGTTATACTTCAGGTGTATAGGCAGGTATATAGATATATGTATATATATATATAGGAATTTTTACGTCTGCTCTGGTCTGCTGCTATTTTGTAGTTTAATAAGAGAAGAAACAAATAAAACGAGAGTTGTCTTCGGTAGACAATCACGAAACACAAGGTCTCTTTAGGGTTTAGGGTTTAGGGTTTAGGGTTTGATGGGTTTAGGGTTTAGGGTTTTTTTTTGAATCTCCATACAGAGAGGTCCTCTCCTCTTATTCTTCTCGAAGCGATGAGCTGCGACAAAAGCAGACAAAGACAAAAAAAGAATTACTTCAATGTCTCTGCACCTCTGCTGCGTATTGTAAAGAGAAAGGCACTGAAGAGATAAAGATAAATAAATAAACGCAAGAAGAGACGGAGATGAAGAAGCACAGACGCTTAAAGAGATAAACATAAATAAATAAACACAAAAAGAAACAGAGATGAAGAAGAAGAGAAACTAAGAGAGAGAGAGACAGAGGGAAAGATAAAGAAGCAACAAAAGAGACAGAGACAGACGCGTAGACGTCTATAGAGACAAAGAAAAAGGTGTGCGTACACCGCAGTAGATATAGACAGAATAGGAGACGCTTAAAGAAATAAAAGAAGGTGAGGATACACCCGAAAGGAGACAGTCCCTCTTACCCGAGCCTCGCAGCCATTTGCTGTTAACTCCTCTACAACTTCTTCAGGTGCATTTTCGCGTTCTAGCAGCTGCAGAAGAACACAAAATAAACAAAATAAAATAAAATTAATTTATTTAATTAAATCTATTTTATATTCAAAGAGAAAGTGAGAGCTAGAGTAAAAGAGAAGAAAGACTCAGAGGCGGAGATAAGAAAACACAAAAGAGACAAAGAGAGAGACACATTAAAGAAGAAGAAAAAACAAATAAAATTAAAAAGAGACATATAAATAAATACATACAAATATATGCATATATATATAAATATATATAGATATATAATATATATATATATATATATTTATGTAGATATGCTTGTCTATACATGCATACATATATATGGAAGGACAGAGACAGAGACAAAGACAAAGACAAAGACAAAGACTAAGACAAAGACAAAGACAAAGACTAAGACTAAGACAAAGACAGAGACAAAGACAAAGACAAAGACAAAGACTAAGACAGACGAAGACAAGGTGTCTGCTCACTAGATAGAGAATTCCCCCGGGTCGTAGAATATCCTGAAGGAGACAAACAGCAAAAAGAAACAGAGACAGTAAAGAAGTTTATTTAATTAATTATTTATTTACTTATTGATTTATTTCTTTATTAAGTGGGAGAGAAAAGAGACAGAAAAGACAAACAAACAAACAAACAAACAAACAAACAAACAAAGAAGCAGGAGAGAGACAGCGGCATGCAGACACTGACGGGGTGTACATGCACCTCTTCAGTTATAAAAAAACAAACAAAAACAATAAAAGTTTTGTCTTCTTTTAATTTTTTAAATTTAACAGAGGTGTTTCTCTAGGCTTTCTCTCTCTGTCTCCCTCTTAGGCTGTGCTGCTGCTGCTGCTGCATCCAGCAGCAGCAACAGCAGCAACAGCAGCTGCAACAGCAGCAACAGCCGCAGCAGCAGCAACAGCAACAGCAGCAGAAGCAACAGCAGCAGCACCAACAGCAGCAGTAGCAGCAACAGCAGCAGCATCAGTAGACGCATGCAGCATCTGTATGGATGCAGCTGTATGTACACCTCACAAGTACTTGAGCAGCAAATTCATCAATTACTTTTCTTCCTTTCTCCCCTCCCCACCAGGGCAAATCTTCTTCTTTTATATTTTCTTCAGTGTCTCCTTGTACATAAGGCTGCATAATAATTACAAACAAACAAACAAACAAAGACTATAAAAACAAATACTCTGAGTCCTTATTGATCTTCATTTATCTTTATCTTTATCCTCTTATTAAACAGGGTTTAGGGTTTAGGGTTTAGGGTCTAGGATTTGGGGTTTAGGGTTTAGGGTTTAGGGTCTAGGATTTGGGGTTTAGGGTTTAGGGTTTAGGGTTTAGGGTTTAATAAACAAATTGAAATCAGCCAAATACAAATCGAACTAAAAGGAAATAAAATGAGCGACATAAAAATTTAAAATAAAAATAAATAAAAATAAAAATAAAAGATAAATATAATAAAATAAAAATAAAATTAAACAAAAAGAAAGAAGAAACAATATATATATATATATATATATATATATATATTTATATTTATATTTATATAACAAATGAATGCAAAGAAACACAAGAAAACAGAGAATAAATAATAGAGGCTCACAGGATTGAAGATGATTAAATCAAAGGGGCCCCCCTTGGAGTTTCTAGCTGCTGCTGTTGTTGCTGTTGCTGCTGCTGTTGTTGCTGTTGGCAGCACCCCTTGTACGCTGCTGCTGCTGCTGCTGCTGCTGCTGGGGGGCCCCCCTCTTGTATTATGTTTCTTTAAAGACTTAAATCCTTTAAAGCCTCTGAACAAATCGCTGTTTATAAACTCAGCCAGCTCTCCACAAACATTTACAGAGAAAGTTCTTCGAGCAGCCTCCAATGCTGCTCGCTGTTTATCAACGGCATATATCACCGGGTTAATAATACTACTCCTACGAGGGGGGCCCCCAGTAGATGCAGGGGGGCCCCCAGTAGATGATGGGGGGCCCTGGGGGCCCCCATTAGATGCAGGGGGGCCCTGGGGGTCCCCTGCATGCGCAGAGTATTGTTTGAACAACGAAGAGAGAAATGCACTGACGCAGCCGCTGCCGCATCTGCAGAAGGAAATAAATAAAAGAAATAATTAGTTTAAAATATTTTAATTAATTAAAATATTTTAAACTAATTAGAAAAGGCATGCATGCAAGTACATTTAGAGTTTAGGGTTTAGGGTTTAGTTAGGGTTTAGGGTTTAGGGTTTAGGGTTTAGGGTTTATGTTGAAAAGAAGCATCACTTACCCCATTTCTAATACCAATGCAGGCTGCAACTCTTGCAGTGTCTCTGCATCTATTTCGAGTGCATCCATCATTAAAAATGTATCTTCTGAAGGCTCATACACAACACGAAACTCTTCTTCTTTCAAGTGAGAAGTGCAGGGAGTCGGCAGCCTTAACCCTATACCCTTAGGGGCCCCCGCAGGGGGCCCCACAACGGGGGCCCCCTCAACGGTTCCCACGTGGGGGGCCCCCTCGGGGGGCCCCACACGGGGGGCCCCCTCAACGGTTCCCACACGGGGGGCCCCCTCAAGGGGACCTATAAGGGGGGCCTCCTTTGGGGGCCCCTCTGAAGGCTTCTTTATCATTTTCAATAAGGAGAAATATGGGGGCCCTCAGGGGCCCCCCGATATTCGCAGAAGGTAGCGCTGCAACGGCTGCAGCAGGAGAGAGAAGCTTGTATTAATCAATAGTATAAAAGAAAGATATAATATTTGTTTATTTGATATGTTTTTAAGTTTTAAATTAAAATATTGTGCAGGGGTTTTCATAGAACTATGCAGGTGCATGTACACTCAAATACTTCTAAGCATCAGCAGTACTGCCAGCATACAAACCCCTAAAATACAAAAAAATATATTATTAAACTGTAATATAATAAAAAACAAAGAAATATACAAATCAAACGATGCATTCTTTAACAGAAGCCTCTGAATAACCCGTGATGGGGGGCCCCTTGGGGGCCCCCCATAGGGGCCCCTTAAGGGGGGCCCCCTTGGGGGGCCCCCCTAAGAGGGTTTAATAATTAGAAATAATTACCAACTGATTATTCTTCTATTTATTTAAATTGAATTGTTATTATATTTATTTATCAAAGAAAAACGATTAAAAGAAATGCTGCATCGGTCCAGTGTATAGGGAGATGTGGGGAGATTAAAGCTCCCTTACAAAAAGAAAAACTCTTTCTATTGTTGTATATATATATGTATATATATATACGTATAAATATATATATATATATATATGTGGGTTTATAAATATATATATATATATATATATATGTATATACATATACATGAATACATATGCATATATATATATATGTATATATATATATATA